TTTAGATCCATGGCTGCCTATATAAACAGGGTAGTTTGCTGCTCGTAGGCAGTGAGTAACATTGCTTGGCTGCAAGACTGCTTGGAACATCCTGGAGGTAAGGGCAGGAGCTGTAGGGGATAGTTTAGAGGCTCCTGGTCCTGGGCATGACCTAAAACTGCACCTTGCTGGGAGTGGGTGGCCTGGTGGGGCTCTCAGTGGTGCGGGAGCCCCCAGAAATGCCAGGCCAGTTACCACCCTGGTGAAAGGTGAGTAGGGTCACCTTAACCCCAGACCTCACCTTTGGATGGGCCTTATAACATCAGAGTAGGGTAGGCCAGGTAAGCTTCTGGAGGTGCCTAAGCCTGCTGGGGGAGTGACCTTGGAGGGCCAAGCACGCTTCCAGGAGCACCTGAGCTGGGAATGGGGGACCCCAAGCCATAAGTGCAAGCAGGAGGCAAAAACCCCACTGAGGTACTCGACTGGTCAAGGCCGGGGCCAGGACCAAAGGTTCAAAAGGGCCAGGGGCCCACCGTGAGGGACGCCCACAAAGAGCTAAGAAGCTCGGGGTCCTGACTGGGCCTGAGATGGGGCCAGGGGGCTTATGGAAGCTGAAGGTCCCCAGGGTTGGGGGCACAGCTAATGGGCAAAGGCGATGGTTGAGCTAACTGCCTGAGATGCTATCTGCAAGGCTTGGGCTGTGGTGTAGGGGTGGAATGGAGCTGCGGATAGTGCCCTCCCAATATTGGGGTGTACAATGGGCAGCCTCACACCTTAATTAACAACTTAATTACCAGCAAGGTGTGGTGAGCGAGACAGGCGGGCGGTGTGCCCAGAGGCAGGTGGGAAGCTAGCCCTGAGGCTAGCCAGGGACTCCCACTTTGCCACAACTAGCAATAAGGCATAATGGGATCTGATGTGCATGGGTCACTCCCATAGCTGCATGTCTTATCGTCTGACAGGACTCCACAGCTGTGAGCCCCAGCACCTTCAGGACTTCCAGCCACTGGAGCACACGGTGTGCCCTGGTGGCTGGGACATGATGGGGCTTCCAGCCTCAGGGGAACACCTGGCCACATGTTCAATTAATGGTGTGATAGGAACAAGCCACAAAGTTATTACATATGTTGTGTGGAATAACTTTGTGGCTTATTCATCTTTTTTAGGCCACTTAGTAATTGATTGAAAATGACCAGGTCACAACTTAAGTGTAACATGTGGCAGAGGCCTAAGTTTCTGCCAATGGGCATATGTGAAGCCACCTAATCAATAACACGGCCACACAGGTAGCAAGATATATGGGAGTCCTACTTCAAATCCAAGAGTTCCCTCATGAGATTCTCAAACTAGATGCAGGAACACTTTTTTGCCAGTGGGGGGCCTCTCCTTTAGATAAGTTTTGATCTAACCTAGGCACCTAACCCAAGGAAAGGAATCATGGATTAGGACCCTAAGGAAAGAAGGTGCTTAATGGCCAGATATCCAAGTGCCCATATCCTCTGTATTTCACTCCTTGCTACTTTAGAAACACTCAGCTTCTCTGGTTTTAAGGATCCCTTACTTAGGGATCTAACTCCCCCAGGAATGTATGCTGAGCTAGGCTGTCCAACTTGAGGCCAAATATGCTAAAGTAACAAATTCCTAGGAGTTAGGTTTTGCGGTGCCTAACTACCAGAGGATGTAGCTTAATTTAATTAGTGCATTAAAATTTATGATAGTATAGAGAAGTCTTATTCTGTTTTGCCAATCTACAGTTAACAACGTAACCTGTGAATGCTCGTTCATGACATCTTGTTTCAGAACCACATTTTTAAAGAAAGGAATGAATCTGACCCAAATCAAGGATTATTTTTCTGTACAGAACTGTACCAGTACAGCTCTAACTGGAACACATATTAAATATGATATTATGTTCACAGTAAACTCCAAGTTCTTAATTTACAAATACTCAGTATTGGATATTCCTAAATTGAGTTGCTTGGAAGACGTATTAAGCTTTTTAGACTAAACTTCTTCCGTTTCAAGTGCAAATGATTGTGCTTTAAATGTATAGCAAGCATTTATTAACTTTAAAAGACATATTTTCGTTCTGCAAAATACATGCATCCTGATTAGATTTATTACAGGAACTGTAATAGTCATTTCACTTATGACTAGTTAATTGCTTGCCAATAGGACCTGGTAGAAGGCTCCTGGCTGCTATAAACATGGAAACTGCTGTTATGAAAAGACTATAGAAAAAGAGCAGCAGGGAGCTAATGAGCATTGTTTGAAAGCAGCAGTGTAGAACTGCTAATGTAGGGAGAGAACTGAGGGATAGTTAGAAGAGTGCTGAGGATGAGGACTGTCAGAGCTAGGGAAAACTGCCAATTCAAAAGCTTGCATGGAAGCATCTAAGCAAAGGAGAACTAGTAGGGTATGATAATTTGAAGACCAAGAGGATTCCTTCTGTTAAAAGGTTCCCAGATAAAGACATTCCAGCAGAGGTAAGAGTTACAGGAAAGAAGCCTGAGGAGTAAACATGGTAGGAGAACCTTTCAGTGGGCAGAATCCCTTTTTCAGAAGCCATGATGTGAAGAAGTGGGAGTAGGGTTGCAAAGTCTGTGAAGGATTGCTTGGGGGAGTGGACATGGGAATGGAATGGGGAGCATTAACTCAAGGTTATGAGCTATAGACTGGGATTCTGAAGTACAGCACAAAGGAATAGGACTGCTGCATCTGAATCTCTCTCTTACTGAGCATATGAAGGCCATTTCTGAAACGCAATTGGACAGATCTGTGGATGGTCAGATTTATACTAATAAATTATGCCCAGAATGTTGAATAGATTCTAAGAAGGATCACATTTTCTTCTGGGAGGGAA